GATATCCATCGCTAATGATTGAATATTTTAATATTCAATCATATCTATTGTACCTAGATTCTATTTTATTTTTCTCAAATTTGATTGAACCATTTAAAATAACTTAATATATAGCGATAATGATTAAACATTTTAAACTCAAGTGTATCTATCTACACCTATATTTATTTATTAATCATGTATATCTATATTTCTTTAGTTTATTAAATTCATATCTTACATCAACAACGAGATCTCCATTTTCATCTCTTTCACGCATTAACCTTTCGTCCAAATCAATTCGCAGAGTTGGTAATGTGATGGATTTTTAATCGAGAAGATTGATTGAACTGATATTACGTAAGGAGAGAGGAGATCATGTTCAAAAATTCTACCATCATCAAAGACAAAGACGATACCTCTAATAATTGATTGATTAGTACTTTCATTTTAAACATTTTCTATATATTATTACTGTACCATATCATACTGTTGGTATATCCTCCTAAGTCCCACATCGAATAAAAATAAGAAGATGAATCAAAATATAATGGTTCAAACACAATCCATTAGTATGAGGCCTTTTGGGAGGTGTCCAAAAATAAATTCGTGATGGCTTGGCCCAAGGCGGACAATATCATATTAATCCAAGGTTGGATGAGGATATACACGGTCCTATCATATGGTATCCGAGTCCAAGTTTGGAGCTTGCCTTGCGCGGTCCCATCATGATGTGGGACTTGGGAGGATATTCCAACACATACCTCTAATAAATTAATATGTCCCTTCTATCTATATGTTTATTTTATTACCATGTAATATGTAATTATTTTTAAATATTTATATTATATTTTTTTTAAAATCTCAAATAATCAACTAATTTCTAAGTAAAATATAGGATTTAATTATAATTATTTCTTCAGACTTTCAACCATTTTTAAATTTCGAAAATAATAGTAATTTTTCAAATAATGTATAAATACGGGTGAGCGAAACGCAAGACTAGTTATATATATTACACCTATGCCTAATAGGGCATGTTGCTAGTATAATATATTTCAAAACAATTAACTCAAAGCACATCTAGTTTGTTGCAACAGACATAATTTACCTAACAGACATAACAGATATCATGATTTCTTTGTGCATCCACAACAGAAGCCATTAAGATCTTTGCTGTTCTGGCAATAATTAATTCTAGGCAATCATGTTCCCCTTCCTCTACCAAGCTCATTTATTGCCAAATTCATTTCAATTTTCGGTCATTAAATTCATGGATTTTCTGTCATATCTTTCTTTTATATTTTGGAATTTCAAATTCGGGCAAACATGTGCGCTGGAGGCTCTAAGTAAATGCCCTTAGGAGAGTGCAAAACCACTCGGTCCACCCATTGCAATCGGCTCGGTTATTCAAGAGAAATTTAGTTTAGAACTAAATTTATTATTTATTTCGAGTCGGTTTTATAGAAGACTTAAAACGAACCAACATTATGAATAATAACTGATCAAAACTGTCTGAAATGAATGGTTCAGTTCGAATCGATTCAGTTTCATTTGTTATCCAAAAATTTTAATTTTACATTTTGATCTTGGTTTGGTTCTATTTGAACCGAATACCAGTTTGCTGACCCTTAAATGCCGTACTGATTTTTCGTTTACGCTGTATTTTCTTTCTCTTTCTTCTATTTTATTTATTTTTCTTTTTTTTTTCAAGTTAGTTTAGTTTACTGATTCACTCTCATTTTTTCTAGTCTCATCCATGACGCTGTCCCCACCATTTTCTTACACTTTGTTTGGGAGAAAAGATAGTTTGTTGAAAGTAAAATTTTGTTTGTTATACTCCCTCTGTCCAAAAGAAAAAAAAAATAGTCAATTTTCTATTTCGACACATATTAAAAAATAATAATTAGATAGTTAAAGAATAATTTTATTTATATAATTTTTTTATTATGCTCATTTTAAAAAATATATGAATAATTATTATATTAGAATAATAAGTAAGAATGAATGAGGATTATTGAAAATAAGATAAAATTTAATAAGAGTATAGTAGATAATTTAAGGATTAAAAGAATGAATGAGGATTATTGAAAATAAGAATAATAAGTAAGAATGAATGAGGATTATTGAAAATAAGATAAAATTTAATAAGAGTATAGTAGATAATTTAAGGATTAACTACAATGAAAAAAGAAAAATATATTATATTTTGGAACAAATCAAAAAGAAAGATGGATTATCTTTTTGAGACGAGAGAGTATAAAATAAAAAAATAATTGAAAAATAAGTATTAAGATTAAAAAATAGTACAGACATCACGTAGTAATTTATAGAAAAACTCAATTTTGAATGCATCTTTTTCTTTCTTATCTCTACCTATATTTCTATTTCCTTCAAAATCTCTGGTGTTTCCTAAACTTCCAGAGTTGTAAATTAACAAACCATCACCTAATTTAGTGGCAAGCTGGCGTTTTGCGACTAAAACATTTCATATTCTATCACTTTCTGCATCTTGTAATTACTATTTACTCCCCACCCTCAATATATTGTCTTTAATGGACCTTACAGTGTATTGATGGATGAGTTTGAGTGTGAAATCTGCTGAGACTGCAGTATTATAAAATATAATAATTTACCATAGTATTTCTATATAAAAAAAAATTATAAATAACGAAGTAACGTTTTATGCTCTATTTATTTCCATACAATCAATCGCTTGACATTGATTTTTAAAGAGCATTTAGTTCAGCTAATTCATGCAACCGATAACTATTTTGCACCAGATTGTAATTGTTTGATAAGAGTTTCAATCAGCTACTTATTTCATTAGCAACTACTACCAAAATTTTATGAAAAAAACACATTATACATATAATGTATAATAACGATTATACTTTTAATGATCATTTTATATTTTTAATAGCAATCGCTATTTTAATTTTTTTATCAAATATGAATGGTAATCAGTTAACTGCTATTAACATTATCAATTGTTATCAGTAAACCAAACCCTTAATTTCAATTTTTAACTAGAGAATCCAACTTCGATGAATATTCTAGCCTTTAAAATTAAAATTAATTTTAATTCAAAACGGACACTAATAATCTTAGATACAATCAAATGTTTAAAACTTTAAATGCACCTAAACATCCTGTATTTACTAGCAACATCCCTGCTATGCACGGTTAAAAAAAATAAAGTAAAGAATTGAAAGAATATTATTAAAATATATCAATGGTTGAAAAAAAATATATAGCCGTGGTTTTAATTATTAGAATAAAAATTATTAGATAAACATATGTTCAGGAGTATGAATTAAAAATGTTGAAATTTATAGAAATAAATAAAAATTGAAATAAAATTCATTAATTTTATTTATTTTAAAATTAATATAAAAAATAATTGATCTGCTATAAAATTCATAAATAAATTATTTATTTTAAATAACTAAAAGTTGTATAAATCATCAACTCATGTTATTAATTCTCTAAAATTATAATTAATCAATATTATTTAACATAATTTAATTTAATAAAACAATAATTTTTAATTTTCAATATAAAATAATAACTGCCCATATAATTAAATTCATAAATTATGTGTCTTTAAAATTTATATTAATTGTTACTTAATATGTTATTAATTTTTAACGTTGTATTAATCAATTACATTTAAGACGGTTTAATTCAATCAATAAACAATCATAAATTAATTTATTTTTAAATAAATATAATATATGTTTTATTAATTTTTAACGTTGTATTAATCAATTTACATTTAAGCAACGGTTTAAATTTCAATCAATTACATTTAAGACGGTTTAATTCAATCAATAAACAATCATAAATTAATTTATTTTTAAATAAATATAAAAATAAATAATTAAGGCATTACATGTGTAGTTAAATTGATATCCTATATGGCAACACTAAGGAAAATTTGCCTGCTTTATATATATTGATTGACATTTATACTACATAAATTCACTCCAAGGTTTGCAACTTTATCTTTATGGCTTCTTGAACTTTATGAATGATCTATCATGTATTCGAATTTATAAATTTTAGTAATATTATATACATTTCTATACTAATAACAATAATTTTTATAAATAAAATATTGATTTTGATGTGTAGTTGGTATAACTTTTGAAAAACTAATTTTCACTTTGTTCAATTATTTAGAAGGTATTTAATTGATCTAATTTTTCAAATCAAAGTATTTCATAAAATAGTTTTATTGGTTAAAAGGTTTAATATGTATAATTCTATAAACTGAAGTGTTTAATGAGTCAAATTAAAAATTAAATGTACCAAAATTAAAGTAATAAAATTTAAAAATGAATTTATGTATTCCGCTAAAAAATTCTAATTGAGATTGGTTCCTATCTATATTAAATCCATTAATAAATGAATTTCTCAAAAAAATCTATTAATAAAAGAAAGTCAATATAAAAGAAAAATCATAACAAATCAAATCTATTAATAAGGCAATGAAATTGAAGTTACTAATACTATTACTACATATAAATTGATGACAAACAAGGAAAGTTCTCAACTGTTTAAGTATTTGTAGCTCCAAAAATGAAACTCCCACCCATTTTCTTCAAACCAACCTCCGCTCTCCACAGCCTCACACCTGTCCTTTTCGCTCTCTCCTCTTGGGATTCTCAATAAGACATGTAGCCCCCTCTCAATCTCCTCCGCAGATTCCTCTCTCTCTTTTTGTAGAACTTAGGGTACAACAAAGGAGAGAATTACTATTTAATCCTTAAAAAGTTTTACTAAAGTTATTAATTTGTCTCTATTATTTTTAAAATTATTTTCAAATTATTACCAAATTTTACATGATATTAAATAAAAAGAAAGACACTGTTTTTTTTTTAAATAGAACAGTTAAATAATTTAATAATAGTAAATAATATGGATGAATTAATGGTTTTACTAAACAGTCAGGATGATATAATAATTTTGATCAAGTTCAAGGACTAAATGATAATTCTATCCGTAACAAATATCACAGCCAAATTGAAGAAGAGAGACTCATTTCAGCAGTCAGAACTTCAATTATTTAATTTTCATAGGTTTAACAAAAATGAAGAACGCCACCAACACAAAGCTCATTCTCCTCCACCCTTCAATCCACAAATCCCCTTCATCTCCATCCCACCGACTTTGGTTTTTGTTTGTAGTAACTTTCTTTACTTTAGCTTTCACTTTCACTCTTTTCTTCTCCACTTTCTCCACAGTCACCAACGCCGGCTCCACCTCCGCCACTTCCACCTCCTCCCTTCCACTTTCCGTCACAACGGCCTTACTCCACTATACTTCCACTTCTAACTCCACGAACCCTCACTTGACCTTTGCCGAGCTCTCGGCCATCGCCGCAGCTCTCCAACGCTGCTCTCCCTGTAACTTCCTCGTTTTTGGCCTAACCCACGAAACCCTTTTATGGAAATCTCTCAACTTCCATGGCCGTACAATCTTTCTCGATGAAAGTGAATACTACGTTTCAAATTTTGAAAAGAACCATCCAGAAATCGAAGCTTATGATATACAGTACACTACAAAAGTAAGCGAAATGGCGGAGCTTCTTTCAGTGACAAAATCTCAAGTTAAAGACGAGTGTAAGCCTGTACAGAATTTACTTTTCTCCGATTGCAAACTAGGCATAAACGACATGCCGAATCATATCTATGAAGTTTCTTGGGATGTGATTTTAGTCGATGGGCCACGTGGGTATTTTGCGGCGGCGCCGGGGAGAATGTCGCCGATTTTTACAGCTTCCGTTTTGGCAAGAAGTAAAAAAGGAGGCGACACAAAGACGCACGTTTTTGTGCATGAGATTAATAGAGAAGTTGAAAGAGTTTTCAGTGATGAGTTTTTATGTGAAGAGAATTTGGTAGAAACTGTGGACTCTTTAGGGCATTTTGTTGTGGAAAGAATGGAAGCTAATGATAATAGCTTTGAGTTCTGTGAAAATACAAATACGACGTCGTTTTCGCCATTGTCGGCGTTATCATCTGGAAACGATGATGAAGAAGAAGATTGAACTGGGTTTGTTTTAGATTGCTTGTATCATTACATTTTCCGTTTATTTTTCTTTTTCTTTAAGTATACAGAAATGTAATTTTTATAGGTTTAAATATCCTCAAAAGTTGTGATCGAGGCAATGATGATAAATCAAATGTGAATTATTCAAAATTTATTACTGTGATGTCTAATCTTGTTTGGTTGCCAAGAAAAGGTGGGAAAAGTTTTGAATAATTACTTGAATATTCATAATTGGCCCCTTAATTTGACTTAAGCAAAGTCATTAACCAATCTAAAAATTACCCGAAGATAATTGCTGCATGGAACATTGAAAAGGACAGGTAGGATTAGGAGGAACATGTGTCGGTGAGATAATTCGAGTTGGTGGTGAAGGGTGAGGTGGGAGATGCGCCAGCATGTAACTTTAACAATTCTCTAAATCGAATTTCAAAAAGCAAATTTCGAATCTGGGCGACCAGACGCGCTGTTTTGGTTCGAGAATAGTAACGCTCCGGGACATTGGCTTAGAAGCGAGGGAAAAAGAAGGTTCATAGAATACTGTGGGATTGGTGATAGCAGATAATACGCCAGCGAAATAAAAGACGGAGGCCATAACTCCACCTTGCAGCGAGGTGTGAATGTTTATTTTGTGCGATCACGTGATACACGTGACAAAAGCGTAGGTTACGGCATAAAGTGAGACCGGGAAACTGCAGTTTGTGTCGGTTAGAATCTCTATTTTCATTTCGTCTTTATCAAATTGTTATATTTCTGTTGATTTTTTTTTTTTTTTTTTTTTTTTTTTTTTTTTTTTTTACAGCTGACCAAAAGCCGTAAAGGTTAACGGCATAAAGTGAGACCCGGGAAAACTGCCAGTTTGTGTCGGTTAGAAATCTCTAATTTATATCAAATTCAGTCTTTTAATCATAATTTTGTTTATATTTCCTGTTTGATTTTTTTTTTTTTTTTTTTCTTTTTTTTTTTTTTTTTTTTGTTAAAATTACGTTTGTATCTCTTGTAATATCTGTAGATTTACAAAATTTTTTTTTTTTTTTTTTTTTTTTTTTTTTTTTTTTTGTAAAATTACGTTTTTATTCTTGTATACTGTAATTTACAAAATTGCCTTTGCATTTTGCCTTTGTAATTTACAAACGGGGCCATAGTTTTTCCCGATCTTTTAACTCACACATTGCGTCAATTTTTTTACTTTTTCGATAATATATTACTATTTTTTTTATTATAGTTCATGTATTTTATCGAAATTAATTAATCTATTTTTTATTTATTAACTATTTGATCCCAATAATTTAATAAAATTAAAAATTACAAAAATCAATAAGAGGATAAATTTACATCAATGGATAAATCTACATAAAGACATAAAAGTACATTGATAACATATTCCTTCAAATTAAAAAAATTAATATTAAAATAAAATTATAATACATGATACCTGAAGAAATTAATGCATAATAATAAACACGCATAATAACATAAAAATTTATAATAGAATACAAAATCATTGAAATTCCATATAGTTATATCTTAATTCTATTGTGCTATTTTTATTCTAACTCATTTTGATTTATTTTCATATCCTGTCAGAAAGAAAAAAGAAAAAAAAGAAAAAAAGATTTACACTCTATTTGGATGGAGGTATTTTATTTGAAGGAATCAAAATAGCTGAGTAAAATAATTGTGGAAAGCAATTTTACCTTATTTGGAAAAGAATGAAAAACAATGAAGGAAGGAAAAATTAATTTATTGTCCTTTTTTATCTCACATAAATAGAATCTCTCCATTTGGGAGAGAAAATAATGGTGGATCGTTAAGTTTCTCCAATTTTTATGTAATTACCCAAAAATCCAAACTACTTTTAACTAAATATTGAAGTTATATGATCATCAAAGTCCTCTAAAATGATAAATAAGGTTAAAACGGTTAGATATCAATATTAATAATTTTTTCCTCTAAAATTTTGCCTTTTCCAAATAAAAAAAAATAAATTTATTTTCTTTCATTTATTATTTTCCTTCATTATCCAAATACAAAAGTGTAAAATAACAATGGAAAGAAAATTAACAATTCATTATTATTTTCCTTCATTATTTTGATTTCTCTTCTTTCAAAACGGAGTGTTAATTCTTAGAGAAAATTTACAGTAAATCTTCTGTTATCAAACATGTTGGCCACTTTTTCTTCCTTTTATTTTTAACTTTTTACATGCATACTTCTATTACTAGTATGAATTAAACTAACAATACAGAGAGAGATGTGAGAGAGAATTGTTCTGTTAAAATATTTTTCTTCTATACGCATTCAATAGGTTTCTCTCTTCCTCTTGTTTCTCTGGTCTATCTAATCCTATTTTTTATTTGGGACTACAGTTGTTAATTAGCAATAACCTCCTACATTTCATTTTTTCTTCTTGCTCATAATCTTTTATTCATCTTTAATAAATTCAGATATATTTTCTTCTAACAGATCTGTTTTTTCTTTATTTTTTTTTTGTTATTGTTGCTTTGTCTCCATATTTGGAGTTCTTTTGTTCCTTCTTTTGTGAGGGTTTAGTTCTTTCTTTGTGAATATTTATTATTAAAAGGTGTGATATTTGATTTTATTTGGTTGGAGAATTTTTAGATTTTGTTTCACTAATATTTATCTTCGATTAATAGAGTCTGGTAACGCGGTCCGTTCCTCTATTGATATGATGCTATTAATGCATAATAGCGTGAACTCATCCGTATACATTATATGTAACAATTTTTTAGAAAAGCAATCATTAAATCCAATCATTGAGAATCCAAGATATTTGATTTTATTTGGTTGGAGAATTTTTAGATTTTGTTTCACTAATATTTATCTTCGATTAATAGAGTCTGGTAACGCGGTCCGTTCCTCTATTGATATGATGCTATTAATGCATAATAGCGTGAACTCATCCGTATACATTATATGTAACAATTTTTTAGAAAAGCAATCATTAAATCCAATCATTGAGAATCCAAAGAAGTTATTTTATCGTCCAAATCAGTTAAAGGACCAGTTGCTACTATGAAGATTTATATCGATGAAGGTTATCTTCAAGCAAAAAAATCCAATATTATTTCTTTTAATTTTAGTTTTATTATTCAAAAGAATATAAATAATTCTTTTATTTTTTAAAAGATCAACGAACTCTCTATTAGTTATGATAGCAAGTTATATATCTGATCTAATTGAGTATTTATAATATTTGCTTTTATTATTAATGAATTTTATTTCTCAATACAGAGAGAAATGCGCTGAGTGATTTTTTTCTCCAAAAGATAAATCCTTGAATTTTTCACTGGTTGCATGGAACACCAGAAATCTCCAAATTGTACTATATTCTTTGTTATGCGGAAGCTCTATATATATGAATTAAACTCTTTGAATATATCTTACTACAAATAAAGCTTATGTCAAGTTTGTTGTATGATTATGTGCACGTTTTCTTACAAGATTTTCTTTTAATTTTTTTTTGTCAAACATAGCTAGCTAATTTTTTTTCTTATCATAGGTTTTAAAAATCTTAATTTTATACATGCTAGCTTTTAGGACATGTTTGATATGTTGTAATTGGTATGTTGTAATTAACCATATAATGGAATCGAAATTACATTACATTATTGATTACGTTATTTGGTTAGACTTTTTCTAATATTGTAATGTAATTGAAATTATACATGTAATCTTCATTACTTAAATTATCAAAAAACACATATATTGTCCATTACATTAACCACATATAGTACCAATTACATCAAACCACTTCAATCAAAACTCTATCATTTAAGGCTATATAATACTACTGTCTCACCACCACAACCATCATCACCGTTCCACCACTGCGCTACTACTACCACCACCTCTGCTCTATCACTACTGCTCAACCACCACCATCACCGCTGCTCTATCATCACTGCTTTACTACCACCTCCACCATCACCACAACTACCATCACTCCATCATCACCACTACAACCACTATCACTCCACTACCACATAATAAAAATTATATATTAGTGTTTAATATATAACACAGAATAAAAATTATATTTATTCTTTTATTTTATTATAGAAATGAGAAGAATAAAATGAAAAAAAATACTAAAATATCAAAATACTCATAATATTTATATTGTAATTTAATTTATTCAATGAAAATATATGAAAAAAAATTAATTTTTAATGATTTTAATTTTTATTTTGTTACGTAATATTTTTTTCTGGCTTACTTCTTTTAAATTTTTTAGTTCAAATAAATATATAAATGTAAATGGTGTTTAATAGCTTAATATGGTGAATAGCTTTTGGTTCAAATATTTTTTTTCTATTAATAATGATGTGATGGTGGAGGTAGAGTGGTTCTGGAGTGGTGGTGGTGGTAGAGTGCCTCACTTTTCTCTCAAATAATAAGATCTCGGCTCAAATATTATGTAACACAATTAATTATAGATTATAGAATTACGATTTAAGTTTACTAGCCACGTAGCACATATAGAAACTTTTCAATTAGGGCGGTTTTTTAATATAGAGAATTTTACTACTAATGAAAATTTTGGAAATGATGCTAGATGAAAAGTCTAAAGTATCCTTACATGAGCTCAGTTATGCCAATGATAATTGCTTGAGAATAGTGGCACACAAAAAAGGTTGGCATTTTATATTATAGAATTAGCTGTTTGGAAGTCTATTGAGTTTATCTATTATCTAGAACAATCTTCAGAAGAGGCATAGGCTCTGATATTTCTGGAAAACTTTTGAGTTTTAAGAAATTTGATAGATAAAAATATTGAAGAATTTCCAATTTACATATGTTACAGGGCAAACTCGAGAGGTTTATGCAGTTATCCAATTCCAACTGCTTAAATCCAGAATCAAACTCCAGTGATGAAATCACCGGAAATTTAATTAGCTTTGATATACCTTCAACCATTACAGCTTTAAGAAATTTTCATTGAGAAATCTCTGGAATGTATTGACCTTCTGGTCATATGATAGATCAAGAAATCCAATAACTTCTGAATCAATATTTTGCAGGAGGCTTCTAAGATTGTTAGCGTTACATGCTCTCATACTACTTATTAGTTTTAGATGCTCTGATAGCACTGCTTAAAAAATAGATAGCAAATGTGATATCACTCTTGTAGAATTAGTTGAA